GCTTTAACCCGCTGCGCCACCAGGGAGGGCCTACATAGCATTTTAAAGTACACTGTGGAGGGGAGCAGCGGGCGGGTCAGGAGAGGTCTGCCACGCCATGTGGTCGCCTCCGGGGCAGGCGGGGATCGAACTCATGCGGAAGCGGCTTTAGATTCTCAGTGCTGTTCTTTAACCCGCTGCGCCACCAGGGAGGGCCCCTCAGAACCATTTTTACATGCATTACTTTCTCGTAATGAAATATTATTTATAAGACACTCCATTTATCCCTCAGCTTTTTAAGAATTAAGACACATTCTTGGATTTTGAGTGGGTCCCATGTCAAGATAATCATGTTTTCATAAAACTCAGATTCCACTGGTTCCTTTGAGTCTTCCCAACCAGTCTTCGCTGTAATAGCTACGACCCTGAGCTGCTTAGTACTTTTGTTTTTACTGAGCTAGGTCACATATGTCCAAATCTGAGTCAGTGGCTCTATAGAAATACATTGCATTAGTCCACAGCCCATTGCTTTTCTCTAAATTCTTGTCTCTAACAAATTGAAGACATAATACCCAGTTATATGGCATAACTTTCACTAAATTTTAGTTAACGTGAAGCCAAATTGTATTAGCTCCTTGAATTGATATTCCTTGGTTAAGGAAATTTTAGTCTCCCAACCTTGTTTATTTTCCAGTGTCATCCAAAGTGTTCAGACTTTCCCTCCTTCAGCCTAAAGCTTTCCTTTAACTTCACAGGCCTTCGGTAGTGATGAATGGAATGTGGTGAACTAAAAAGACTGTCAGTGCCTGGCACTTGTTAGTTTTTTTAAACATTAAGATGTATTATAAACATATTTATATATTTTAAATAAAGTAATATATACTTCTCACTGCCCTTTCCCCACACCCCTATTTTTTGTTTTATGTTTTGCTTTTGGTTAGGAGTGAAAAACAAGTGGGTGGTATGGTTTGGATTGTAGTCCTGGCTTTGTCATTCACTAGCTGACTCCCTGGCAAGTCACTTGTCCTCTGGTTCATTTCTCATCTATAAGCAAGGTGACTAGACAAGATGATCTAAAGCCAGTTCCAAAGTCAGAATGACTGACCTTTGGTTTAGAAGGCCAAGTTGCCAATAAGGGAGTGGTCACCTACTTTACTCATGGCCCCTGGCATCAAGGTTGATGGAATGAAGTTTCCAACTGGAACCATTATACATTAATTTCAGAAGCTGGGATTTTCAAGGTCTCCTGATTAACACCCTTGATTTTATGGATGATGAAATTGAGGCCCAAAGTGGAAGCCATGTGTGCAAAGTCACAGTGAGTAGCCTTCTGGATGCAGATTTCTTTTTCTCTGTAAGACACACACACACACACACACACACACACACACACACA